CCTACCCCCCGAACTCAAGAAAAATCTTAAAAGGTCTTTCCTATTCTTTTCACCCTTTCCTTTATTGGATAAAAGAAAAGTCGGTGGCGACTCTTACTATCCGCAACAATTGTGATAAAACGTAAAACACCCAAGTCAGTTCTCCCACTGTATTACAGAACTGGCGACTTTGCTGGGGAATACTTAAAAGTGGGGTTACCTTAGAGACTATATCACATTTAAATGCTTTCATTGTTTGATTTACTTGCTTTACTCTTGAATGGTTGTTTGGGTTTTGTATTGATCCTCTACCCGGATCGGGGAACATTATTAGGTAAGTAATAATAGATCGTGGAGACTGTGCAAGGTATACCGACATGGTCGAAGTGATGGCTATGTTAGTGTGGCATATTTGTTGGTACCGATATCCCTTGAGTCCAGTCAAGGAGAATACGGGGCCGCTGTGCAGTGTCATAAAGCATTAACTGATAGTGGAACCTTTAATTGAACAACTTGGCCATTAGAAAGTAGTGAGGTAGCCATCTTTGGTGTAGTCTGAATTTGGTTGATACTCGATATTATGCTCATTGAGATTGGACTTTCGGGATATTTCGGTTGCTAATAAAGAGGCTTGCACTGAAACGATGTCCGATGAAGAAAGACTTATGATATTGAGATTCCCTAGAACTCGATTACATTCTAGGACAGGTTGAACCAACTAAACTTCAAGAGGGTACTTACCTATGAACCTCATGCAAGCCTAAACCTAAGGACTTGTTTTCTTTGTGTGTATATGTTTACTTGTACATAACATCATGGCATCATACCATGGCATTTTGGACTAACCATTTCTAGGATTTTTAGGATTTATCTTTGTGCTGTTTTGTAGGACATGGCTTCCACTCGCATGAATACTATCCAAATCAATCTCGTAAGAGTGCCTCCTCAACTCAAAGAGTTAGCATCAAGGATTACTGAGAATTATCTGTTCACCAAAAGACATGTTCGACTTCTCAATCTGGTTACTTCAAGCCTTGATGAAGACATGATGAAAGTGCTCTTTCAGTTTTTTGACCCTTTACACCATTGCTTTACATTTCATGATTACCAAATAGTGCCCATCATGGAGGAATTTTCTCAACTCTTGGGATTACCTATTCTTGATCAACTACCTTTCACCAGTGTTGAGAAAGACCTAAGACCTGAGGAAATTGCTTTAGCTTTACATTTGCAACAATCTGGCGTTGTGGAAAATTGAGAAACAAGAAGTGGTGTTAAGGGTTTTCTAAACATAAAGTGTGAGTAATCACAAGTTATTGTAAAAGATATATGGAATGGATATAGCAGTACAACAACAAATCATCATGGATTCCAAATATCATCATATTACACATATTGCACTCACACCTTTGCATCAATAAATACGAATTGAGTATACCATCACATCAACAACAATCATCAAACACACAAAATCACAATGTCATCAATAACACTTAATTAATCATGATGTAATGTTACATATAATGCAATGCAACATCATTGACTCATGCATGTGGTACCAAAACTTCATTGATGACTCAGTCATTGTTTCTCCAAAGATCTCTACCAATAGGACCAATTCCCGCTTGGAACCAGAGCACATCATAATATTGCACTCAATCCACACTATTGGATTGATTCCATCACTGGACTAGCATTCTATCATCATCACTGAACCAATCGTCCTTAACAACATCACTGGATTTGAGTCCTAAAATATGTCATGAATGTATGCTACGCAAAAACACAATAAACACGACTATGACTAGTCAAAATGCATCACCATCCATGAATTCATCACATGTCATCACATACATCGTAATTCATAAATCATCATCACAACAACATCAATCCATCATACAAATATACATCATATTGCATCAATCGTATAATCACATCAATTCATCACAGTATTATCATAATTCATCATTCAGGATCTAGTTAAATCCTAGTAGAGTACTGGAAAGATATATCATACGACTCATTTTATTCTACCAAAGCATAATACATCGTGTTAGCTTCCTAAAGCTTCAAACAACGCGTCAAACGAAGTCTAGAAACTCAAGTTATGACATCTCGAAGTTTTTGTCAGACACCTCTCGCCTGAGGCTCGCCCGACAAAGCTGTTTGCTCCCCTGAGGCTCGTCCGGCGAGGCTGAGGCAAATATCCTCCCTCAAAAAAAATCCAGGAGCATTGTTTTTCTTCTGTCTCCATCGCCCGGTGAAGCTATTCGCCCGCTCGACAAAGCTATTCGCTCGCCTGGCGAGCTCCTCTCGCTTCTACTTCACCCGATGAAGCTGGGGCGAGTCATCCTCCCCATACAAAACTCATGGGGCTATGTTTTTTTCACCCCTTCACTTTGCCTCTTGCCCGCCTAGTTCTGCTTAGGCGAAGCTCACTCGCTCGACGAAGCATATGGCTCGCCCGACGCTGCAACGCGAACAGGGAATTCCCTGTACATTTTCTGCACTGCACCAGTCCCAATCTTCTTGGGATTTCAATACGGAACAGGTTCCAATTCATCACAAATACTCATGTTTTCATCATACAACACCAACGCGTCATATTATACATAATATGCACCAATTCATGGCAAAACAATATGGTAATTTCATCAATTTCATCAAAGATTCATCATACTCATCTTGTTATCAATTCACCAAAAAAAACCCAAACAACTTACATACATCTAAATCCTATATCAATTATAATAACAAGGTACCCCCTTTTACCTTAGATTATAGCTAGCAATGATCTTTCCTTCGCGTTTCTACATAATTCCTCTGAGTTCCTCAATGCCCTAGTTCTGCTCTCTGCCTCTTCTCAAAACGCGATCGTACAGAATGAGCGTTCTAAATCCCAAATTCTCCTTATGTCAAACATACCCCTTGGACCCTTTTTATGGTCTTCTTAGATTACCCTCACTTACCACTTCACTAATTACCCCCTTGCCCTTATTACTTCTACACCACCTTTATTTTATTTAATCAATAAAATAATTTTAAATAATTACTATTAAATCTAAATAATTTCAAACTAATCATTAAATTCTAAATACTTCACATTATCTTCTAACTCACTATTATCCCAACACATAGTATCGGCGAACATCACAATGCATCATATGAATCATCAAGACATCATATATACTCACAAATATATCATAAATACTCATCACAAATCAATTAAATAACTGGACAAATAATCTAATTATTTTAGGGTGTTACACCCACAACCCTTTAACCTTGTCAATAAGGTCTTTAACCACCACCACTTTAAAGTCCATAGGTCTTTTTGGTGAACACAATAGCCTTATTACGATCTGGTATCCAGTTATGATCCCAAACCTTAATAGACTCCACATTTCCCACATTCTAATAACTGCCTTTGTTGATAATCCAAATACTATTATTCCTTTTTGGCAGTGGTTCGTTATTTCTGCCTATCCTACTACTCCTCAATCTCATGTAACGGAGTTTGAGAATTTTAAATATGAAGAACTAAATTCAGAAAAACTTTTTCAAAGAGATAAAGTAAAAATATCTAAGTACAAGGTCCCACTGGACGTGTCAATCTGTTTACCGTGAATTTTGGCAAATAATCGTTAGTCTTCCAAATCTGTTATTTTGGTTACTTACAGGATCAACTAGATTGATCCTAGGATATGTGTATAGAACTCTTTAATCCCTCTTGATGATAGTTACTTTGATGAAAATTGAAACTTTAAAAGTAATGCATAAATGATTGATAAACAATGCATGAAAATAAATAGATTTCGACGGGAAATGTAAATGAATGAAAATGATATTGAATAAAAACGAAATGATTCATACGTACATTTCTCAGACAACTCTTTTCTCAATAACAGTTAGATACTTCGAGAATTTGTGAGTTTAAGTACAATGTGAATGTCAAATCCTAATGCTAACATTCCTATTTATACTACTTCGACAGTAACGATAATGAATGCTTCTCTTTAAAAGTTGACACGTTTTCGCTTACATGCAGCACTTTATCCATCGTAGGCTTCCACATGTTCCATCTCAAAGAACGGATAAGGTCAAAATTCAGTTATTAGCCTAATTTCAAAATCTTCTTGTCGAACTTCCCTTCGAATCTTTACGAAAAACTCCAAGTCCCATCATCGCACTATTTCACCATTTCAAAACTACTTTATCAAGCTTCGGTCGAATTGCTGCTCAACTTCTTCGCCGAATAAAAACTTGTTCACTTTAAATATTCTTCTCAACAATCTCTTGCCAATACCAATTCTTTTTGAGCGTCGAATTATTATAGTATAAAGTTTATAGAGGTAAAAAAGTAGTGCAAATTCAAACTAGCCATCAAACATATCATATGTCCTCGTATCCTTATACAATACCTTATAGCTATGCGACATTTTAACACTTTTTTCTATTCACAATGGAATAGCTATTAAAAGGGAAAAAATCATGATTTGCATGTACAAATCATAATTCACTATTCTTAATGGCACATGGATTAATTAACTGGTTCAAAACTAACCAATTAATTAATTAGCATGTAATAAGTTGAACTACTATAATACTGCACGTTGGAAATTTAAGCGTGAATAGTAAAATGTCCTGCAGTTGATGGAAAAGATATATACAAAAATTCAGAGAGATATATACTCCCAATTATGAAAAATGAGTGTTAATTTCCAAGAACAGCATGGACCACTTTGCATTCGAAGTTAAGCACAATTATCGTACGTCTAATAGCATGGACCACTTTGCATATACAAATAAATTTTTTTTCATTATAACTAATGATTAATATTAGACAAAATCATGTTTAATTTGATCATTCCATTATGTACAAGAAAAATCAACCATTTTAACTTTGCTTTTTTTTAAATAGCACTAAGTTCAATGATAAGAAATAGATACTAAGTAAACAAAATCCAAGAATTTGTATATATATGTATAACGGTGAACCAGAAAAAATAGCAAGTTAAGCCATGGCTGTGAAGTACTCAAAACAGCTGCTGCTGATAGTGGTTGTTGCTGTCTTTCATACAAAAACAGCAACTCAACCGATGTCACATCCAAACTGTCCAACAATGTGCGGTTCGGTCACCATTCCTTTTCCATTTGGAACCACCAAAGATTGTTCCCTAGACAACACTTTTCTCATCAACTGCAACAAAACATCTTCAACTACATCAAACTCAACAGCACAAGTACCTTTCTTGCAAAAAACCAAACGAAGGGTCCTAAATATCTCACTCGATGGTGAACTGCGCGTTGCATGGCCAGTAGCCAGCAATTGCTACACTGAAAAGGTTGCACTCGTGGACCAAATACCTCAGGAGATCATCATGACTTATTTTCCCATCTCGCCAACTCGAAACAAGTTGATAGCAGTTGGCTGTGACACATTTGGAGTATTCTTCGCAATGGATTCTGGTGGAGAAAATTACACCAGTGGATGTGTGACTTTGTGTGGCAGGCGTGATGAAATTGTGGCCAATGAATCTTGTTCTGGCACTGGCTGTTGCGAAGTTTCAATACCCCACGGTCATGTGCTGACGAGAGTAGTCTATGCATCTCAAAGCATATTCAGTAACCACTCTTCAGTACATAACTTGGGTCCATGTGGTTATGCATTTTTGGTTGAAAATGGAAACTACAGGTTGGAATACAAAGACCTCTTCAAATTGGAGAAGGAGTTTCCAGTGGTGTTGGATTGGACAATAGGGAACAAAACGTGCGAGCAAGCAAAGAAGGATATTTCAAGTTATGCATGTAAGGCAGACAAAAGTACATGTTACCATGCAGGAACCAAAAAACTTGGTTATCTTTGCAAATGCCTTGAAGGATATCAGGGAAATCCTTACTTCAATCATGGTTGCCAAGGTATTATATAACACTTCTTATCTCTTGTTTGGTATAAATTTCAGTTTTTCAGATAAATGGGATTCTATTTATAATTTTACATAGTAACATGATGATTGTTTTCTGTAAACTCAACTGCCTTGTGAAAACAGAAATCAAAACTGACAAATTATTCTTAGATATTGATGAATGCATGAAATCCAATGATTGTGTTAAGGGAGCAACATGCCACAATTTTCCTGGAAGCTATCGTTGTAAATGCCCAACAGGATATGAAGGAAACGGGAAAAATAATGGAACAAGATGCAGTCTCAAATCAAGAAAAGAGCTCATGTTGATCATTGCATTGAGTGAGTACAATAAATTCTATTCTCGAGTCATCCATAACAAGATAATGTCGACCAGCTTTACGATCGCAACGAAAATTATTGAAACTTGAAACATATTTCATTTGCAATCAGCAATATTAAAACATGTTATAAACTGCTGTTCTGAACTGAAACTCATTGCCAAGAAATTGAGTCCTTCAAGACCAGAACAGTGACATTCTGTAAGATTTTGACTAATGTTTTTGACAAAATGAAGTTGATTGAAACATCAACAAGCTAGGCAAGCAAAGCAGAAAGAGAACTCAATCACGGTTCCAAATCAATGAGAACAGAGAAAATGATTATTTTTTTCATTTGTTTTTGTCAGGTGTCTGTGTAAGCGTCGTAGGACTATTAATGGGAAGCATTTATGCATATTGGGTATTGAAGAAAATAAAGCTCATAAAACTTAAAGAACAGTTTTTTCAACAAAACGGTGGCTTACTCTTACAACAACAGCTAGTGAAGCATGGAGGATCAGTAGAAGCAACTAAAGTCTTCACTTCTGAGGAGCTAAATAAAGCAACCAACAACTTCGATGAAGAAAATATCATAGGCCAAGGTGGTCAGGGAACAGTTTACAAAGGAGTTTTACAGGATAACAGAACCGTAGCAATAAAGAAGTCGAAAATCAATGACTCGAGTCAGGTTGAGCCGTTCATCAATGAAGTGATCCTACTCTCTCAAATCAACCATAGAAATGTGGTAAAACTATTGGGTTGTTGTTTAGAGACAGAAGTCCCCTTGCTTGTTTACGAATTTGTTTCCAACGGTACTGTTTATGAGCATCTTCATGATCTAAACCAACCTTTAAAGCTTACTTGGAAAATAAGACTAAGAATAGCAAAAGAAACTGCTGGAGTCCTGGCATACTTGCATTCTGCGGCTTCTACACCGATCATACATAGAGATGTGAAATCCACAAATATACTACTAGATGAGAATCTCACTGCAAAGGTTTCTGACTTTGGAGCTTCAAGGATAGTTCCTCTTGATAAATCTCAGATAACAACTCTAGTGCATGGGACAATGGGGTATCTTGACCCAGAATACTTCCACACAAGCCAGTTAACAGAGAAGAGTGATGTCTATAGCTTTGGGGTTGTCTTAGCAGAGCTACTGACAGGAAAGAAAGCATTGTGTTTTGACAGGCCAGAGGTAGACAGAAACCTTGCACTGTACTTTGTTTCTTCAATGAAAGAAGGTCTTCTATTTCATATTCTGGACAAAAGTATTGATGAGCCGAATGTCGAGCATCTTAAGGAAGTTGCATTAATTGCAGAAAGGTGTTTAAGGGTGAAGAGTGAGGAAAGACCAACGATGAAAGAAGTGGCAATGGGACTTGAAGGAATATTAGTTATTGAAGAGCAGTGTTGGGGAAGTGACAATTTGCCTTCGGAAGAGACTGAAAACGTGCTCAATGGAGCACCATCTGTTATCAATGTTGAAGATAGTGTTGGCGGAAGTGGCATTAATTCTTCGTATTCATATGGTACAAACCAGATTTTGATGTCAGTGATTGGTGGAAGATGATGAGTTGATTAGTTGATATTGAATAGATGATAGGCTTTGAGTTTTAAGGGACTATCATGAAGGATATCATCTTGTAAGCTAAATTTGGACTTATATAGCATAAACGCTGATTAGTTATGTATAACATATTTTTATAATAAAAGATTAAATAAAGTCTAGTTATTTTCATAATAAGGAAATACACTGAAAACAACTTATAGACGTCTCATAAGTTATTTTTATATCCGCCATTTTACTATCTTCCATTTTACTATCCGCCATTCGGTCCTTTTCGTTAGATAGATGATAACATGATTTTTACTCTGATTATATGTACATCCGTTTTGAACGAAATGGCTGCACAACGAAGAAACCACGACAACGAGGAGGCGGCATGTCGGAGAAATTAGAAGAAATTGGGCCACGACATCCAAGAGGAACAAACCAACTTGTTTTCGGTGTAGTATTCTATTTGGTGGCCTATAATGGCAATGACAGAGGTGAAAATGGAAAAAATGACAGTGAATGACTTTTAATAGATTGAAAGAAGCGATGTGTAGTATTCTATTTGGTGGCCTATAATGGCAATGACAGAGGTGAAAATGGAAAAAATGACAGTGAATGACTTTTAATAGATTGAAAGAAGCGATGTGTAGTATTCTATTTGGTGGCCTATAATGGCAATGACAGAGGTGAAAATGGAAAAAATGACAGTGAATGACTTTTAATAGATTGAAAGAAGCGATGTGTAGTATTCTATTTGGTGGCCTATAATGGCAATGACAGAGATGAAAATGGAAAAAATGACATTGAATGACTTTTAATAGATTGAAAGAAGCGATGTGTAGTATTCTATTTGGTGGCCTATAATGGCAATGACAGAGATGAAAATGGAAAAAATGACAGTGAATGACTTTTAATAGATTGAAAGAAGCGATGTGTAGTATTCTATTTGGTGGCCTATAATGGCAATGACAGAGGTGAAAATGGAAAAAATGACAGTGAATGACTTTTAATAGATTGAAAGAAGCGATGTGTAGTATTCTATTTGGTGGTCTATAATGGCAATGACAGAGGTGAAAATGGAAAAAATGACAGTGAATGACTTTTAATAGATTGAAAGAAGCGATGACAACTTAGAGACGACTGACGAGCAAAGAACTCTGTTACCAACAGAGAGAGGGCGTCTGTTAACTTTAGCCTGAGAAAGAACAAGCCTCTATTCGGTTTTTTATTTAACCACGAAATTAACGACTATTTACACTAAAAGTTAAAATGAAATTTTTTTAAATTTATTCTTTAAAAGAAAACTTTTATATATATATAATTATTTATTTTATCTTAAATTAATAAGAGACTCGTGCGTACTACACAGTCAACAAAATATTAAATAAATATAAAATAGAAATAATATAATTATGTTTAATTAATGTTTTTTCCTAAGATATCTAGTTTTTGGATTTAAGATCAATCTATCTTCAATACTTTTCAAGTATGTGAGGGATATGATTAAAGAATCTATGAATGGCTTTCCTAAGATCGAGAAGTGGATTCTTCTGGATAGACTGATTTCAGATGTTCTTTTTGAAAATAGATTGGTGGAATCTTTGCAAGATCAGAATCAAGATCACAGTCTTGATGAAGAATTGGTGACATCTGATGGAAAATCTTTCAATGGGAGGAATCTAAAGAACATGACTCTAACCTATGTGGTTATTGATCCTCGTGAGGCTCTGGACACATCAGCAATATGTTTCATGAGGAATATAGTTGTTAACTATCCCCTGTTTTTCATGGATGACCCTCTAGATGCTCTGCTATCTTATTTGGAAATATGTGTGGATTGTGGTGAGAAACCTAGTTTCGCCCCTGCGCTATTCAAAATCTGATTGACAATTTTCCAAAACATCTTTCTGAAACTCTTCTCAAGAGTATCTATGATGGCTCTTCTGAATCTGGTTGTCTTGATGACCTTCCAGATACTCTTGTTGAACCCCTTGTCATAAGGAGGAGAAAAGGTTTTAAGATTATTGGTAATGGACCTTCTGGAGTTGCTAAGTGTCCAACCAAGAAGGCTAAGACTTCTACATCTATGAGAAGGTCTCTGGGAGCAGTTCTGGAAGCTAAAGTTGAAGGATCTAAGAAAGTTGAAGTTTTTCCTTCTTAGAATCCCGTTCCAAGTAAGTTTGTTTCTGCTGAAACTTCTTTGCCTTTATTTCAAAGTGATAATAATAATTCATCTCCATCTACTCTTTGTCAACCTACACCTTCACCACCTCCTCCACACACTACTTTTGTAGTTCCCTCCCACTATCCAACATACACAATATATTCCTTTTGAAACCATTCCACCTGAAATCACTCAGCAACCTTCTGAGACTCAACCATCAGAATCTAAACCATCAAATCTCAAACCTTCTGAACCTTTGCCAGTTATGACTGAACATGTTCAACCATAAATCTGTGAACCACTACTATCCCAACTTCTCCAACCACAAACAAAAACTCCACCAAAAAAAAAACCACCAATTGTTACATTTCTACCCTCAACTTCCATCTATACATCCTTCCAGATTAATATCCCTGAAATTAATTCATTTCCAAAAGACCCTTCTTCATCATAACACCAAACCAATGACATCAGTATCCCATTCATTGACACTGAAATTAATTACATGCTAAATCGTACCCCTCTAGTAATTCTTCAGTGGAGGTTGTCACTGTCTCTGTCTCATCTGATTATGAAGATGAGATTCTGCCAGAGTGATGCATGATGGAATAGCTTCAGAAGAAGGATTAACTCTCGCTCTTGGGAGTTAAAGGAGATATATTGTGCCTATAAAAATGTTTGAATGATCAGGAACTCTGAAAAAGTTCACTGAACATTTCTAATCAGGAAATTTTAGACGTTCATAAACAGGGATCAAAAACTCTGAAGATATATCATGTTATGATAAACAAAAGTTGTTAACCAGGCCTTTGATAAAAGGAAATACAATTAGACTCTAATATCTCATCAAGTTCTGATAGCAAGTCAGGCTTTGATACAACAAACCAGACCTTTCTAATTAATATCTGATAGTGTCTTAAATCAAGAAAGTATTCCTCTCGTGCTGATTAAAGTGTTTTATGTATCAAAATTATTTTATAAGTCTTGAACTCAGGGGGTGCCTCTCAACAAGCTAAGATAACTTTTGATAGTATAAAATTCAGAGGCAGCTTTCTAGCTTACTCTGATATGTTTTATGTAATTTAACCAAGTAAAAATTGTTCATCACAATAAATGGTTTTGTCATCATCAAAAGAAGGGAGATTGTAAGACCAAGATTCAGTTCTACATCTGGCCTTTAGTTTTGATGATAACAATACATTGTTTCTTAGAGAATAATTTTGTATCCTAATAATTTTGTCTAGTTTGTAGCTGAATGCTAACAGGTTCTAACTGGGAAGAAGTGACGTGTGATGTCGTCAGTTTCTAAACTCAACACACTCTAACTCCGAGGAGATACAAAGTGTGCTTTACAAGAAAATGTCAAAAAGTTAAAAACAAAATTTTTCAAAAATTCATATGATATAATCGATTCCACTGGGACTGCAGTCGATTGACATCAAACACACGTCGCCTATGTTTTCAAAATTTTAACTGATGCAATCGATTGCACTGGATGGTTTTCCAAAAATTCCATTTTCCTGTTATGTAACTTTGTTCTCTCCAATCCCTCATCATCCTAAACCAGTCTCAAGTTCTGTTGAGAAAGATGAAAGATAAAGCTTGGAGGAGTTACTTATTCAGTAAGATAACTCTCTTAATGTGCATACTATAGCTTAGACTTCAAGTAACTAACTTACTTTAGTTTGTTACTAGTTGTTAGGAGTTAGTTAAGCCTTGTAACTAACTTTTAGATAGCATATATGATGTATGCTTCATTATTGGTGAATTGGATTTGTAGGAATTCTTCTCATCATTCAATGCAATAATCTTTTTTCTCTTCTATAATGGTGCTCTTAGATTGAGATTTCACAAGGTATCATCGACATGTGACAGTGCTCACACCATTCTTGTTGTGCATTTTACATAAATCACCATTTTTTTCTCATTTTGTTAATCTTGATCTTCATTCTTTCTCTTTTTTGCAACAATGGCGAAAGAAGATACTTCGAGCACCGTCAATGGTAATGCTTCTGTTTTTCAGCAAAAGTCGAATACCAACCACAATAAGGGTTATCAAAATGATACTCTTAATGCCTACTTCATGCATTCGAATGAAAATCCTTCACTTGTATTAGTTACTCCATTATTAAATGCTGGTAACTATCATCCATGGTCCCGATCCATGACTATGGAAATGTGTTACAAGAACAAGTTGCATTTCATCAATGGTGCATTACCAATACCACCAGATTTTGATCCTGACTCAATTGCATGGGATCAGTGTAACACCATAATATGTCATGGTTGAACAATTCTCTAGATCCCGAAATCTCTCAAAGCATTTTGTGGATGGAAACAACTTCAGGCATTTGGAAGGAACTTAAAGATAGATTTTACCATGGTGATGTCTTCAGAATTTCAGACATTCAAGAAGATATTTGCACGCTTAAGCAAAGTGATAGTTCCATCTCTTCATATTACACAAAGTTAAAGATGTTATGGCAAGAATTGGACAATTTCAGTCCTATTCCTACATGGGAATGTGATATTTCCTGTTCAACTATTAATAAGATTAGAAGCTACAAAAATTCTAATCAAGTTATTAGATTTTTTAAAGGCTTGAATGATCAATATTCAGCTGTTAGATCTAAAATCATGTTAATAGATTCTCTCCTCAATATTAGCAAAGCTTATTCTTTACTTGTTTAACAAGAAAGACAGTTGGTTGTTCCTATAGATAAATCAAAATTGCTTGCTTTTCCTGCTGGTTAGTTTCAAGGTAGAGGCTCTGCACCTCGTGGTAGATTTGGTAGAGGTGGTAGATCGACTGGTCGTGGCAGAGACAATAGGATTTGCACTCATTATGGCAAGACAAACCATACTATTGATACTTGCTTCAAGAAGCATGGTTATCCAACTCATTGGTAACAACAAAGCCCAATCAATAACGCGAGTCATGAAGAATCCAATGATGATGAAGATGTTCTTGAGAATTCTGAGACTCAATTATCTTCTCAAGACTCAGGTTTCTTAGGCTTTACTCCTGAACAACATAAAGTTTTACTTGTTTTACTTCAACAATTTGTTCCTTCCATTCACCATAGTGTGAATCATCTCGCTACTCAAACAAGATCCAATTCAGGTATTATCTGCACTATGTCAGTTCATCATCATCATCATCAAATATTTCATAAGATTCGTCATCAATCAAAAGAAAACTAAAACCCTACTCCACCCTTCTTTCATGCCAATACAATTGAAAATCATTACCCACTCTTATCTTAGAATTGCTCTAGAATCGTCTTCTCACACTCTAACGATGGTTGATCTTCTTGCTTTCTCCTTGTCATAGCATATTTTCTTTCAAATTTCACGTATAATGCAAAATGATATCTTTTTTCCAGTTTTCCCTATTTCTATTAGAAATATCCCTCAATTATGTTTCCCTCATTTATCCTCAACTTAACCTCATGCAATTACCTCGGTGCCCTTAAAATCTCTACCCATTCTAACTTACTTATTTTTTTCTTATTATTTTAATTATTAACAAAATAAAACTATTATTTAATTAATCTATTATATTTTCTAACTCAAGGTCTTACACACCCACCAATAATCTAATAAACACAATAAATCACAAAATATTCATAAATAAATATATAAGTAACATAATTTATAAATTAAAGTATTACATAGAACACTTTAGCCTAAAAAGAATATTTATGAGAACCACATACATTATTTAACTCCTCCCATCACCATGTATATCTGTTTGTATGATGATGTGATATTGTGTCAAAATAAAAATATATGATGTAATATGGTCAACATACTCATAGGATTGGTATATAATGATATGGCCATATGAACCTGAAAAATCAACAAAACTACATGGATGTGAAATCAAAACATCTGCTACTGATGTTGATTGTTGTTGTCCTTTACATAAAAGCAACAACTCGACCAATGTCTTTACCAAACTGTCCAACAAAGTGTGGCTCCATAACCATTCCCTTCCCCTTGGGAACCACAAAAGGTTGTTCTCTAGACAACACTTTTCTCATTAACTGCAACAAAGCAACACCTTTCTTACCACACAGTAACCAAACAATCTTAAACATCTCACTCAACGGAGAGCTACGTGTATCATGGCCAGTAGCCAGTGACTGCTACGCTAAAAGAGGCAAACTCATAAACCAAACAATTCATCAACTTAACTTAACCAACCTCCACTTCTCTTCAACTCGAAACAAGTTAACCGCAGTAGGTTGTGACACTGTTGAAGCAGTTAAAGTATTTGATTCTAATGGAAAAAACTACTCAACTGGATGTGTTTCTTTGTGTAACGAACTTGATGATATAATTATTAATGGTTCACGTACCGATACTGGTTGTTGTCAAGCACCAATACCCCAAGGACATGTGAAATCCAAAGTTTGTTATCTTTCTGTAGACGTTGCGGCAAACCATGTAAGTGTGGATGATTTTAATCCTTGTGGTTATGCTTTTGTAGTTGAAGATGGAGCATATAGATTTGTTTTTAAAGATATACTCAAATTAGAGAAGAAAGAGCTACCTGTTGTATTGAATTGGGCAATAGGGAAGAAAACATGTCAAGAAGCTAAGAAAGATGTTTCAAGTTATGCTTGCATGGCTGAAAACAGTGAGTGTTATAATCCTACTGATCATAGAGATGGTTACTTTTGCAACTGCTCTCTCGGTTTTAGAGGAAATCATTACCTTCTTCATGGTTTCCAAGGTTACAGCAACAAATGGCAAAGCATAGAGGTTCAAATTAAACAGCTAAGGTCTTAACTATGGATGAGCTAAAGGAAGCTACCAACAATTTTGATGAAGACAATATTCTAGGCCAAGGTGGTCAAGGAAAAGTTTAGAAAGGAGTTTTACAAGATAACAGAACTGTAGAAATAAAAAGGTCTAAAATCAGTGATCCAAATAAGGTTGAAGAGTTCATCAATGAAGTGATTCTGCTTTCTCAAATCAACCATAGGAATGCGGTGAAGCTCTTAGGTTATTGTTTAGAGACCGAATTTCCGTTGCTTGTTTAGATTTTGAAAATTTTGAAGTTTGAAAATTTTGAAGTTTTCTAATAACATGGCATAAATTTGAATTAATTCAAATTTTTAGAAAACTCTTGAAAAGTTTTTGCCATTGCCTATTTTGTCAGGCGCGGATTGGCGAAAGCTAACTGTAAAAAATCTAGTCGATCATACTGACGGAGAATAATAATAAGTGTAACGCTAAATTAGTGGTAGCCAAAATGGAAGGAAATGCCAAAATGGTAATCATTAGTTCCTCAAAGGGGTTACAGATCTAAAAGAAGGGGAGTCAATCTCAATAAAATATAAAGTGCAACCATAAAGATTTTTAAGCAGGAAAACGAGACTTAAAGTCTTCAAAGCAGGCCTTTTTGAAAACAATCTTATTGTTGAGGCGTGTTTTCTTTGTCATCAGCTTGCTAATCCAGCCTTTAATCTTTAAAGCCTTTTCGCCATGCGCAATTCCTTTCTAAATTTCTTCATCAATTTTTCTTTGGCTTGGGAGCGCTTCAGCCGAATCCAACAGGGCCTTCTTGCTTTTGACGTCAGCTATTTTCTTTTGGAGATCAGATATTTGGGTTTTGTAAGAAGAAATATGTTGATCAAAGGCAAAGCGTTTGTCGACACATGCCAATGGTTGTCAATTTCTCTTCACAAGCTTTACTGAGATTCCACGCATCTTCCATATCGACATTGCTAGCTTGGAGTTGGTTGTCGATTTGTTTTCTCAAAGAGAGATCATTGATAGCTTGGTGGAAAAATGCCTCGAGGTCGATAAATTATTGAACCCAAGCCTCAGGGATGGTATGCTGAGAGATCTCGTCGAATAATTTGAAAATATCAACCACCAAATCACTCTCGTCGACAGCGCAGAGAGGAAATCGCCATTGAGCAGGTGCCCTTTTAACTGCTGTAATTTAAGAGTCACATTAGAGTCAACACCAGCAACAGAGGAAGTTGTAGAAACAAGGACGACAGGTTCTTATCGGGGCTTTTGAAGTCTCCGCGGAGTCTCAGTCGGATGCTTTTGTTTCATTTCCAGAATTTATGCTTGGCTTAAAGAAGTGTTGGAGCTAGTGTCTTGCAAGATGTTGTGAAACTGAGGATTGACAGCAGTAGAGTGTACTAAATTATTGCCAATAGGAGCTTGTTGGTTAGGGTTTTCCTGAGGAGGAGCATTATTAGTAGAGGGCTATCGATTGGCTTCAGTGTTTTCTTCACTGATGTGTGCCGTCGAACAATGAGTAAGACCATCAGGCGGAGTCGAGTGGGAAGTGATGTTGATCGAGAGATCATTCCCAATTTCCAAGGCGTCAACATCTCTGGCTGAAGTTGTACCAATGGATGGAGTAGTTCCAACCACTTCCTCATGAACTTGTGCCTGAAAAGAAGATTTTATTTTCGTAAAAGGAAGTGGTGTAAGAAATAAATACCTCTTCAGTGGGTTGGACGTTTTCTTCTTCCTGAGTTGGAATTGTTGGAGTTGGTTGTCGAGGAGGTGAAGTTTCCTCTTGATCATGAGTAGGAGAAGGCGGAGCATCAACACCAACAGTTTTAGTTTTTGAGGTGTTGGCTTTGAGGATAATTCTCTTGAGTTTCTTCCGCCAATTGAGCTTTGTGGGAGTCGAAGCTTTGAATGAAGAAAAATGTGGGAACCGTCATTATGGTCGAAACTGTCTGGACCAATAGAAGGTTGTGGCTTCCTTTCAGAAACCTAGTGGAGCATGAAAGATTTCAGGTGCTAATCTACAACGGTATGAAAAGAACATATGGAAGAAGAATGCATGTATGCACCCGGATAGTCGAAACTTTAGCTTTCTTTGGGGGCACGACAAAAACATTTTTTGCGGTCGAAGAACGTTTCCGCCCTTGTAAACAATATAATAAAATTACAAAGGTATTATTGAGGTAATAAAAGAGTTGGAAGAAAACGAAGGTACCTTAGTAGTTTGAGCTTCAACATCAGGATTTTTCCGCTGGTCAGCAAGTGGAACCTCTGAAATGAGATCGACAGAAAGTCGACTGGCTTCCCAAGCCTCGAAAGCATCCATTAATTTTTGCAAGAAGGCAGTAGCAGAAAAATATTGCGTCTGGTACTGAGACCACCAGTATTTGAAATCTTTGGTATGGAAAAAGGAAGATTTAAACTTGAACACACAAAATTCAAGGCGTGAAGAGTTTCTAACATAATGAATATATTCCATGTATTCTTTGTCATCCAATTGTCTTCCAAACCAAAGGATATCGAGTTGATGGGAGAATAGAGATTTCAGCATCATTTGGCTAAGGCCAAATTGTCGAGCAACTAGGTTAGGATGGTATGTCACAAAGCATAGCCTTTTAATCCAGTGTTAATTCGAGAGGACAAAAATGTAAGAGTCAAAAACGCTCTTCACACAGTGTTGATTTAACAACCGCTTTAAGGCTAACTCCAAGAAAGGGATCCCTAAACCATGTAGGGCCAACGATTCTTCTCACGAATGGGGCCATAGCCTCGACAAAAGAAGAGGTCTCTATGAATAAAATAGTATACTTCATAAAGACATACCTAGTTGAAGCCTCTTGAGGAGTGAACAGCGACAACCTCAACCCCTCAATAGATCGGGTCGCCAAAGAGCGTTCGACAGCTTCTGATAAGAGAGAAGTTAGTCGATGCTCAAAGGTAGCATTCAATAGTGTTGCAAAAGCCACAATGGCCTTGAGAAAGCTGGTCCCTTAGGATTTCCATAAATACTTTTGAGCCTAGAGGAAGTAACACTAAGAGTATGATAAAGATAGGCTAGCAAGAGTTTTCCCAAAGAAATTTGTCGACCCTCGTTTAGTTGAATGGCCAGAAGGACAAAACCTTTCGCCACTTATATAGACCCAGGGAAAAATAAATAGTAAGAAATCCAAAGAGTGAGGAAAGCAATATGTTCTTCATCAGAAACATTTGTTCTTTGAGTATCATGATGGTCTTTAATATAACTTGTAAGGTTGGCTCTGTCGAAGTGGAATTTGAGCTCCATCGACAAAGTAGGATAAAAAATTTCGCCCAAGGGAGACAAGCCAGTAATGGCTACTACGTTGAAGAGAGTGTGCGTTAATATCCCACAAGGGAGTTGAAAGGTGTTGGTCGAACCTTCCCAAAAGAAGATCTACACTATAATCATACAAGGATTAATCTTATGAGCATTTCTCGACTGCTGGATCGCGTCGAAAATGTCAGATGCTTCCCAGAAAGACTTTTTCTTAGCTTGGACTCTGTCAAGCCAGGCCAAATAGGCCGAATTTTCAGAAGTATGAGTAGAATGAAAGGGCTTGATAGAAGAATCCATAAACTTTACATCAAGCATAAAATCTTGAACAAACGCGAGGGGTTTCACAGAAGTATAGCAGGGAAAGAACTCCTGAACTTTTTTGGGATCATTTTTCGGGTTCAGATACGGCCAATGAAAATCATGGAGTTCCCTAGAAACAACGAATGGAATGAGCATCAGTTTCAGTGGTGCGAGCATCAATGGATGTTGGTTGCGGAATAACTGGCAGAGTGGCGTGGTTTGTAAGAACAAAATCCATTGGGTTGGTACCAGTAGAAACAGGAGCATAACCAGAAGCTGCCATTGTAGTATCTAGTTTATTATCTTGAAAGAAAGTGCAAAAAAGGAAGAGGTTTTTTGTGAGCAAGAAGCAAAAGAGAAGACGGAGGAAGGAAAGAAGTAATGTTAGCCCAAAGAAGTTATTTAAAGAAAATTAGACCCGTCGATCATCGACAAGTGGCAGTGATTCAACGATAACAATCCCAGGAAGTGGAAAAGTTAGTGGAGTTTGTTTAAAAAACTCACGCCCTAAAACCTAGGAGTATTCATGAGAAGTGATTGGAGTGACATGGAAAACTGTTGCGCATAAAGTAACCATGATTGCGCATGACGTCATCCTAAAAAGACATGCGGTCGAAAACTTGGAAAATAAAACGCCAGAGTTATCCCATCAACAGGGCTCCGTCGAACATGGTGTTTTTGGGGGAAATTTGTTGACAAGCAATTTTCGACTAGAGAAATAAGCCTTAAGCTGTAAGATTTCTTTGGCTGAAAAGGAGTGTGTTTGTGGAAAACAACAAGATGTGTTAACCAGGTTGAAGGGTATCGACCAGAAGAGTTAGTCAACGAAAGATATGGGATTCAGAGGCAGTCATCGACAGGCGTATGGGTCGACGAGCAAGGATTTATGGTGGCGGAAACGATTATCAACGTGCAAGCCAGTAAGAACGTGGGGGATGTTCAAAGCAGTGTAGGGTAGTTTCTCCACAAAGTCTCAACGTGGGTTGGTAACCGTCGACGATTACATACTTAGAATTTCTATTTAAGCAAATGTTTTTATTTGTGTCAAATGTCGCATTTCTTCACATTTAGAGCATTACACTCAAAGTACCCGCATTTAAGAGAGAAACGAGTTTCAGGCTTAACAATGTATGAAAGCTTCCACATTTAAATTCATAACAATTTTCAGTTTTCACTTTAAATTACAAGTCTTGTATTTAGTTTCTTTACTTTACAATTGTATTTCACTTTTGCCTTTTTATTCAATATCAACGAATTTCAACCCAAAAACACTAAGTTTAGGATTATTGTAGTTGATTCTGCAAGTAATCTTTAATAAGAGGCTAACGATTGTTTTGCAGAGAAACACACATTAAAAATATATGTTTTGTGATTTTGTCTTAATTTCCCATCAGATAAACCTACCATGAAAGAAATGGCGATGGAACTAGAAGGAATGTTAGTTATGGAAGAACATAGACAAGGAAGTTCAAATTTGTCTTTAGAAGAACTGAAAATTTGTTGAAAGCTTCACCATCTGTTTTCAATGTTGAAAATGGCGTCGGTCGAGGTGGCATTAAGTCTTCTAACTCATATAGCATAAATCAGATTTCAATGTCATTCATTGGTGGAAGATGATTAGTTGATATACTAATTTTTAAGCCTTGTCGATTTGTCTGGTTTTGTTATGTCTAGAAGTTACAATGTAATATATTTACAATAGTTTGATGTCAAAGTTTATTTTTATGCAAGTGAAATTACTTACACTTTGTGGCACAGCAAAGCAATCAAAAAGTAGGAACATTATCGGAGACATAATAGATACTGATGTTTCATGTTATTGGAAGTGCTTTTACAGAGTGTTCTTATTGTATAATGTACATACAGATGCCAAAGATTGATATAATGTACATACATGCTTACCAAACAAGAAAGTAAAGGTACGGAGTCGATACGTACCATATGCATAACGTACGCGTATGCGTACTGATACCAGATATGTATCCGGTACTAGTACTTTGTTTAAAACGGTGTATCAGTACTTCACATAGCAGAAGTCTCGGAACAAAGAATAATGATAAATCAATTACTATGATTCTGTGAATAATACATAGAACATGCAAAGTACTATTTGTGCATTCAAGGAAACATGATAAGAATGATTTCTTAGAATTGAAATGGTTCTAAGGGATTTTACAATTACAAGTAATATTTATTCATGCTAAATTATTGTCGTCACTAAATTTATCTTATCCAATAAAGAGTTATTATACTCAATTGTCTTTACAAATTACAAGGAACTATCTTCAAACACAGATCAATAAATCTACAAGTGTGTGATTGAATTTTAAGCAGCATGTCAGAAACATCTAAGAGATTCTTTACAAAATTTGGATGCTTTCTTCAAATCACCACTCTACACTTTTCCATCTGATGAATCAGGAACACTATCTTTTTTCAAGGTTGTGGAAGACGACGAAGACACAGAGTTTGTGCCTTTGGAAGGAGAAGAAGAAGGAGTCGGTAGCTTCTTAGGAAGCATCTGTTCCCAATTATCCTTAGGAAATCTTGATCCTTCTGATACAACAACAATAGTTAGCAGAATGAAGAACAGAAACCGGTTCCTTGAAAAACATGACATGATGAGATGATGATGATGATGATGATGATGATGAATTGTGTAAGAGTTGAGATTATTCCTACTTAAAAAGAAAGAGGTTTAGAGAAATTTTGGAAGCTGACATGTTCAGTAATGTAGGGAGAATGCCAAGTTGTTTGGTTGGAAAAAGAAGTGTAAATGGCAGACAAAGAGGTATTTGATAATTCTAAACTGTGAAGCAATCCTTGTTGTTGCTCTCATTGTGTTATAAACTAATATAGAATCTGAATGTGCATGTGTGAGAAATTTTTGTTGAATAAAATAATAGTGATTTCACTTTGACTCCTTATTAGTTGAATTTTAATCATGCAAACATGAGGAGAATGGTGATTTTGAGTGGTTAATTAAAAAAGTTGGATGATTAGAATAAGTGTGTTGGAGACTTTATATGCTGTTTTTCCGACAACAGTGTATAATTGAATCAGTGGTGTCAGTGAAGTGTGTATAGTTTATAGCATCTCTTTGTTTAAGGCTTAAAGGCCATGTAGTTATTGAAGGGATATATACATTTAAAAAGGTTGAAAAATGCATTTAAAAATGAAAGTGGTGTGTTAGGGTAGTTCATGTTTGATTAGTGGCTACTAGCTAGCTTCATAGCTATGTTGTTTGTTTCTTTGCTTCAGGTTTATCAACATCCAGAAAAAACGGAACAACATAAACGTATTTTCCAAGTTACTAAAAAGAATTAGCAATAGATGATTGAAAGAAACATAACGAGCAACTCCCTCCATTCACAATTATAAGCTAAAATAACTATTTTCAAAGAAAGTTAGTTAAATATAATTATTTTTCTTGGTTTCATGTCTAATTAAAATAAAATTTACTATAATATCTTTAGTTATATTTAATCAATCAACTATCAATATTAAATGTTTTTGAATTAAAGTAAGAGTATAATAATAATACAAATATTAATTAGTCTAAAAATTAATATATTTTACTTATAGTAATCAAAATTTAAAATCATTTTTTTTTATAATAATGACCAGAAAGAATAGTATATATTTCAATATTTAAATACCTACTCCGTCTGTTCCATATTATAAATAAAAAATACTTTTTAAATTTATTAAATATTTAATGTATTGGATTTATATATATTCAATGAACTTAAAAAAATAACTTCTGTTTATAATATAAAGAAGAGAAAGTACTTAATATTAACACATCTAAACAAAGATGTGTCATATTCAATGTTTGACATGTTTGTTTATAATATAAAAAAGAGAAAGTACTTAATATTAACACATCTGAACAAAGATGTGTCATATTCAGTGTTTGACATGTTTCAATGTTCAACACCGCGCCAACACAAGTTTGAATTATCTGCGGACAATACGTAGAATCCTGCATTTAGACTATGTTTGGCCTGAAACAGAATGGATCGGAATAAAACATGATGAAATGAAATAAAGTGGAAAGAAACTGAAATTTCATTCCATTATTTATGTATTTTTTATAATTTGATAGAACAAAACAGAATAATATAATCTCATTATTTAACATTTCACTTCATACCGATTCAAAAATACACTTACTGAAAATTGGCCATAAAAAATTTGGAGAGGGTAAAATTGATTGAGGAAATGACAAAAATAACCTTCAAAATATACTAAATGCAGGAGAGTGATGGAAAGAATTCATGTTCACATCCGACACGTATAATTACTTTTAATTTATTCAATTTTTTTAATTAGTACTGACGTCAGATAATTCCCTTTAGTTTATTTATTTTCGGGTTTGTGCTTCATAGTATTGAGATCTTGAGATCTGATATATGACTTAAGTAGTTAAGTGAAAAATAAACCATAGATATTTACATTATAAAATATTATATTACAGAGTTGTTGTACAAAGTGACATTCTTAAATAAGCATAGAAGTAAAGAATAAGAAAATAACCATTCTGTCAAAACAATGAGTGGAAAGTGAAGGTGAAGCATCATAAATTAAGCAATGGCTGACACAACCGTTTCAACCTTTGTTGGTCTCCAAAATGTCTTCTGAAGACAAAGTAAACCCTCTCCATTTTTTGCATAACTAAAACGAATATCCCAATGTAGAGATTTTACCATGTTCTCTATCTCACCAATGGTTTCTTCATTGTCTCTTATAATCAAATATCCTTCTGGTCTTAACATTCTATCAACTTCTGCAATCGCTGCCACTATGTTGCACCTAAATCGAAAAATAAATAAAATCGGCTCAATAAATCTAAATGATAATGATTAAGGATAGTGATTAGTGAACATAACGTACCTTTCTTTAAGATTTGAGAATAAAGAATCGGCATTGAGAAGATCATAAGATCGAGGATAGGTGCTAAACGACTCACACCAATCGTGATAAATACCGATTAATCCACGCTCGTATATTATAGGCAATGTGTCTGGAGAATCAACCGGAACTACATTCATTACCCAGACGTTCAATTTCAGCGCTCTGAGTGCCGCGGCGAAACTAAAAACACAACAGAATGCAAATTTAGTAACAGTCGACAAGGTTGATTAGAGGCCGAGGAATATAGAGAAGTAGAAAGAATAACTTACCCTCCGTAAACAGCTTTCATGTCCATGACATTTCTTACTGAAGACCAATTGATACCCATTCCGTGCAAATATGAATGTGAAATTACGTTTTTCCAATGCTTGTAATCGGCGGTGAATTCTAATGGAGCAGATCTTCCAAAAACACCGGTCTGAGTGTTTAACCAGTAAGGTGGTTTCTCTAGCCTCAGTGGCCATTGTTCCGGCCAGATTGTTCCGCGCTCTGATGCACCTACTGGCACTTTGTGCATGCAAGCCTGTAATGATACATTCCTGAAGATATGGAAGTTGGAAAACAGAAAATTAGAGCAAGCAACCACAAATAATCTCAATAAATAAAGCACTATCGATATTCACGAGTTTCATTTTCCCATGTTTGAGAAGGCAATTTATGTTATTAAGAAAAAAAATAGATGTACCAAGCTGCATTTGGATCATCGGATTCACTACACATTGGTGGCTCATTTTTTGGCCGTTTCTCGTAGCATTCGTTGTCGGTTGGTTTTCTATATATTGCCGCTGCCACTCCGTTCAATTTGTCTTTTGCAATAACAACCAGATCCCAACACATTGACTTTGTGATTGCACGCATGTCTGCAAACAAAATGGTTATGTTTAAAATCAACTCATAAGTTCATCTCGGGTAAAATAAAAGCATCTCTTAAAAGCTTGTTGGGATTGACTTATTTAAGTCTATCTATTCGCATAAGCCCTTATGTAATTTGTTTATCCAAACAAGGCTTTAGAGTGAAACTAATTTGGATTTAATGGTTTTACCTTTCCAAATCCCGGCATTTTCTGGATCCTTTTGATAAACTGGAGTAGCGGACCATACAAAGTAACCACCAGGCCGCAAGACACGATTCAGCTCTAAAAGTAGCTTGCCACCTGCATTGTACAAACATTAGTGGGAAGATAAATATATTTGAGGAAACAAAAACTTTAGTCAAGATTTCAGTAGCACCTTCTATGTGCCAAGGGACTCTACAACGAGCACAGTGGAGAAGATCAAAGACAGAACCGGGGAATGGTAATCTTTTAGTTCCCATGACGCCTAACGTTGCAGGAATCCCACGTTCCAATGCAAATTGCACTTGGGCTTCGTGGACATCTTTAGGAGCAAACGACATGGTCAGAACATCTTTTTCAAACAGATAGCCACCGAAGCTCGCTACCCCACACCCAACGTCCAATATCACACGACTTCTCTTCCCCCATGCAATATTAGGAAGAGACTGCATTATTAAACGAGCACCGATTTATTTGCTATATTGGTATGTCGAAAATAATAGTTGAAAACACAATATCAAAAAAATAAGTTGAAAGCACAAATCAGAGAGACAATTCATTCCAGTGGACATTATAAAACTGAAAAGGCTTACATTCTGAATGAATTCAATGTAATGAAGAGCGCCATACTTAAACTGAGTTCCACCGCCAGGAAAAGTAAGATATTCACCAGAAACTTTGATCCAGTTTTGATGACCCTTAGATTCTACAAGCTTTGTGTGAGGAGCATTGTTGTACCATATCTGCAATAGGCACCAAAATATTGAATTTCAATATTTATATTGGATCAGTTATCGAATTTCAGTAATCCAGTTTGTGTTACGTACCATTTCCCTGCTTTTGGGCCACCTAATTGGGCTTCTGTAGCCCTCCGGAAGAGAAACAAGACAAGTGGTAACTTCATCAGGACAGTGTCTCTCTCGATGTTCATAGTGACTTATGATACGAAGTTTTCTAATTGCTTTCCAATTGTCAAGACAAGGGATGTATTCTGATCCCGAAGTTGTATTACAAAGTTTCCAGTCGTATTTGCTGCTATCAATAGAGATCGAATACTTTTCTGGTTCCTTGTCACGCTTCGACTCTGCAGCTTGAGTTGACCTAGTTCCTTTCTCAGTTCTAGCTTCAACTAAACTTTCTACATTACTATCTACAGTACTTTGATTTGTCATTGACCGCATATTTTCATTGATCTTCTCCTCCTTAGACTCTGCAGCTTGAGTTGACCAAGTTCCATTTTCGGTTCTAGCTTCAACTAAACTTTCTACGTTACTATCTCCGGTAATTTGGTTTGTCATCGACTGCAGATTTTCATCGTTCTTCTCCTCCTTAGACTCGCCAACAGTCTCATCTTGTTGCGTGATTTCACCGAGACTATTTTCTGTCCCTAACTTGCTATCATCTAAGCTCTTGTCAGATTTACTTTCATCTAAAGTTTCCACCGATCCTTTGAGTTGATTATCATCAATTTGACCATTCACTGTTTCTGTTTCTACAGATTCTGAATGGCTTTCACTCTGAGATTCTGGGGTTTGGCTATCTCTTGTTTCCGATTCATCTGGTACATCACCTAATCTGTTTTCAAACTTCCTAGAATCAGTTTGATTGGCTATATTTTTTACCTCATTAATCGTCTCGGATACCTCCATGACTGAATCCTGAACCGGAACAATGGATGACATTGCAATCCATAAACCAACTAAACAAAATGCAACAAAAACAGCTACGGGAACTGTGGAACAGTAGTTCGAAGAATTCCTGCCGTCGCCTCGGGAACTCTTACCTAATGCCATGATTCTTAGTTACTTGTATTTCAAGATAAACACACCTAGAAAGTGAAGCAAAGCATTAGCAAATCTAAAGAAAACCATGCAATTCAGTTAAATGTCAATGCTTTCTTCTTTCCAATTTGAAGGTTAGAAACATAGATCAAATGAAACACTGTAATTATGTTTCCAAGACTAGCAAACAAAAAGGGGGTTAGAAAGTAAGAATTGGAAGATTCAAAACAAGGAAAATGAAGTAAGACAGAAAAAGAAAGGAATTGACAAGTACTAACTTGATGCTAAGTGCTAACAACCAAAACTAATCAAACTTGTAGGAATCAGTCAAAAAAAGTAAACTTTATCAAGGAAAATAAACTGAAACTTTCTCCATATAATTATGAAATGGTGTATGATCCAAAACTGAAGAAAATGTCAATAATTGCACACACCTAATAGGAAAATTGAAAAGGCAAGAAACTCAGAAAGAGTGATGAAGTAAAGAAGCATAAACTTTGGTCACCTTCATCTGCAATCCAAGCAAGTAAAGCAAATCTGAGAATGAATGTGGTGGTAGCTATGAAGCAGGTGGAGCGGTTTGGGTAAAGGAAGAGTGAGAGTGTATGTTTATCAACATAATTATTTATGATAAAAAATCATATCATTTTAATGCAAATGATGAAAATTGATATGAAGGGAAAATTGATCAATACATAATATAAATAAATTAAATAAATAGAATAAACAAAATAAATAAATAAATAATATAAATATATTAAATATATTATTTAAATAAAAAAAGGTGGGTGTATTTTTAGTTAACACAGTAATTCTAAGGGGTTTAAACTGCAAGAGCTTAAACTGCAATATTTCAAGGGCGTGTGATTTTATGTTGGGGAAGCAATCTGAGGGGTGTGAATAGAACGGGTTTGGTCTAGATAATTTTCTTAAGACTGTTGGACAAAGTGTGGGTGGGGGCATGATATTATGGTGTGTTGTAGGGTTGAAGCGTTTATCCAAATCATGTGGCTATCAGAAGTTAATTCTGAGACAATAATCTGGAGTATGACAAACGTATGACTATGATCCAAAATTGACTGAGGGAGTATGGTAAGTGAAGTAGTGAAAAACACAAGAAGGGGGGGTTGAATTGTAAAACTGAAATCTAATGCAATGAACAAGATATTTTTATCCTGGTTCGTTTGATCTCAAACTACTCCAGTCCACCCGTCAAGGTGATTTCGCCTCTCTCCAACGAGGTCTTAATCCACTATATTCAACTGAATATTACAGACTGCTTTAACAACTGCTAAAGCCTTCTTGATGCAAACCACAACCCGGTTTGTCAAGGAAACACTTTCTTACAAAGAAGATAAATCTAAGTGTGTGAATGTTTTCTACAAAACTGTATCACAACTGTGATGTATACACAACTTAAAGCTTAGAAACTAGATTGCTAAACAATGATTGAATATGAGAATGTGTAGTGTTTAGCAAAACTGAGAGAAGGAAGATTTTGATCAGCTTTTATGCGTGTAAAGATTTGGAGAGCATTAGCCAATTCAATCTTCAAAGTCTTGTTTATATAGCACTGAGATGTTGAACATTGGAGCAATATTCTTGATTCAATGCTATTAACAAACTTTCCTTATCGAGCAGATCTTGTATGGAATGAGGCCGTTGGTATTAATTTGCTTTCAATGCACAGTACCGTTGCTTACTTAATGCAAGTTCTGGCTTGGCTCATTCTGACTCTGCTTAGCTGCTGATGAACTGTTGTGTTTCTTTATCAGAGTGTTGAGCGCAGTTCTGTTCATCAGACTTCAGCATATACGTGAGTTAATCTTCTGATTCTGATATTCTGATATGGCAACTTCTGATGCTGGTGTCAAGAACCAAATTTCTGATGCTGATTAGGTGATCTTGCTTATATCAATCAAAGTATTTGCAAATCAGAACGTAATAATTTAGGCAGTAGATAGTTCATACATGAATCATATAAATAATGTATCTTTTCACTTTGTTATCATCAAAACTTAAACATAGGGTAGTAGATTCAAACTTTGTTCTAACAATCTCCCCCTTTTTGATGATGACAAAAACTAGATATTTTTAAATGAAAATAATGTGAAAAGGTATCAGAGAGGTGCATCAGAGTAAGAGTTTATCAAAGATGAGGGATAAAAAGATATCAGAGTTGAGAGATACTCCCCCTGAGTTTATTACTTCCCTTTGATTACAAGTGTTCTTCAGGATCAGATCTTTTTGCCTTTCTTTGAACATCAGAGTATCAGAGTCTTTGGCTATCAGAAGCTTTAGATCAGCATATCAGAGCAGAGCTTCAGATCAGCGTATCAGAGCTTTTCTTGTCAGAGCTTTGCTTTGGATCAGAGTATCAGAGCGGATCAGAGCTTCATATCTTTTAGTCTTCAGAGTGTCCAGGAGCTTCCTTGTACCTGTAGACTTTAAGCAAAATAGAAAAAACATTTTCAAGTAATAGAGTTAGAATGTTTGAGAATTTCTGTCTTAGTTAACCGTTATTGTTTAAAATATCATTCTTGTTCTCCCCCTTTTTATCAGCAATCAAAAAGTGTAGGTGAGTGCTAAAACAATTAAGATCAGAAAAACTTGTCATATTGAAAGGTTCATAATCAAAACATGAAAATAGTACAAAACATATTCAAATAGTACATCAGAAAATCAAAGAAAACATGAAAAAGACATGAATGAAAAAAGACTAAGGTTGGGGAGGTAAGCGTGTGAACAGGTTCTCCAGCATGGCTTTGATCTGATCAGCAGTCTCATTCTGCTTGTGCACCATGCTGACAACAGTGTCAATCTTGTTATCCTGCACATCCATTCTTTCTTTCATCTTCTGGTCGTTTTCATCCATCCTCTGCTGCAGACGCATGTCATTCAGCTTTAGTTTTTCCAGAGTCTGCCTGTCCAAGGCAGCTTGAGAAGCATCAGAAGCAGGAGGCTTCTGAGAGCTTTCTGCAACATCTCCTGCTTGACTTTCTTCAGCTTGAATGGTCTTGTCTTCTTCTGGTTGCACCTTTGAAGCTAGCTGTTTCTCAGACCAAGGTTCACTATCCAGAGGGAGCACGTCTTCTTTCAGAAGTTGACTTCTTGCTGAGGTTGATGCAGAGCTTTGATAATCAGATTTGGATCTGTACCATCTGCCTTGCACGCATCCAAGTATCTGAGAACCACCTCTGGTTTAGATTCTATCTCAGAAAATAAAGGAAAGTCACTCAGAGGAACTCTTCTGCTGGTGATATCAGCAATAGGAGTAGCTCTGGGTTCCTTTTGGATATTCTCTATCAACTTCATTTTCTTCAAGTTCTTTGCGTTCAGAGGTTTCCCAACTGTTGGTTCAATGGTGCTTAGCTCTTGAGCTTCTATCAGATGCTCTATCAGCCTATTCTCTGTCAGAATATCTGATATCAACCTTCCAAAGGGTATCCAATCCCTCTTGGTTCTTTCTTCTTCCCTGGTTTCCTTCACACTTGTTCTGAGGTGGTTGAACAGAAAATGAGCCAGGTTGATTTTTACCTTCTGATCAATAAAGTAGATCAGAAACTGCTGATCCACATTTATGTAATCAGGTGAACTGGTTGACTTCCTATGGTTGAAGCACCCCAGAATTATCTTAGCCCAAACTCTGTAATGATCCTTCAGATCTTTGATCTTGCTGCTGGGCACCCCATGGGTGAAAATCCTTGCTGCTATCACGCCCACGTCAGCATATCTCTCAGCCATATCAACACAGCAGACGCCACCGCCACTGTAACCGATTAACCTTGCTATGTGATCCTCAGTGATCACAATCTTCTTCCCCATAACGAAGGAGGTGACTAGATGTGTTGAAGCCTTGGCATGAATCCAAAATTCCTTGACTAACATAGGGAATGTTGGTCCAACCAACCTGTCAAAATACCTTTCCCACTTCTGTGCCCTAACTTCTTCTGTTAGGTCAAAATCGTTCTCCTTCAAGCTTCCAAAATCAATGATCAATTCAGATAACACCTCAAGATTATTCACAGGAGTGAGGAGTGTTCTGAATGGAACTTGATACTGCTCAGATGATGCTTTCTTCTGAGGACCTGCAGAAGCACTGCTGGAGGTTGCCATGTTCACACTAAAAGATTTTGAGAAGAAACTGAGAAAAGGAGGTTTTGCAAGAGATGAACACAGAAATATGCAGAGAATGCTTGAGTATTAGTGAGAAACTGTAAAGAATTGGAATGAGAGGTTAATGTGTTTAAATAGAGTTTCAGAATATTTTGAAAAAATAAACGTTTTTAAGAAAGAGAAAAATCATGATTGCATTTTAAAAGCGTGATTACTTTTATTAAATGCTTGCTGATTTTGGGGGATTTGAGAAAGATACTTAGAAACGGTTACTAGACATGTGTCTCAATGCACCCAATCAGCGCTTTGCCTTCTCAGAAGCGTGCACGCGTTCTGCTTCAGAGATTTGCTGATGATTGGATGACACTTGTTTGATGTAGTGATCAGCACGTCTGTCTTTGAGCTTAGACTCTCAGATCTTTAGACTTGCATCTGATACAATCTGCATGTTCTATCTTTCTGAAAGAAGATTGATCAGAAGTTCACAGTAAAACAATTACATTCTGAAGGTAAATATATGGAATTAAAACATTTTCACTCTGGACAGACTTTCATGCTGAGATGTTTCAGAATGAAATTAAACCTATCTTCTGAAAGGGGTTTAGTAAAGATATCAGCCCATTGATGGTCTGTATCTATAAATTTTAAGTTCAAAATTCCTTTCTGAATATAGTCCCTAATGAAGTGATGTTTTATTTCTATATGCTTAGCTCTAGAATGTAAAATGGGATTCTTACTTAAGCAAATAGCAGAAGTATTATCACAGAGTATAGGAATGTTACTCTCAAAAATCTGGAAGTCTTCAAGCTGACTTTTCATCCAGAGCATTTGTGTGCTACATCCTGCTGCTGCTATGTACTCAGCTTCTGCTGTTGATAGCGCAATTGTTGATTGCC